GATCATCTCACAGCTGAAGGATCCCCAAAGAAAAATCTCTTGATGTTTTATGGATCCTATGTTCTTGGGAAATAGGGGTGGCAGGACTAGAAATAGAAAAGCCCTACTACTGAAGTGAAACTGAGAAAAATTTCTTCAAGTGCCACCCAGTGAGGTGGTCTAGGCAGAGGCAGTGCCTAAACAATACAACACTTAAGGCAAGCCCCTCCTCCCTGCCACCATAAAGAAGCCTCCAACTGAAAGCAACTGGGGTAACAATGCACTATGGGCAAGAGCTTGAGGGATGAGGGAGTTGGGACCATGATTGGTTGTGTATCAAGTCATTTGTGGGTTGAGAAGGTTCATTCCCTCATGCTAACTGCCAGGTAATGCCTTTATAATCATTTGTGTTTGTGTCTGATACATCACACATAAGGTTTGGCCTAGAGTCAGATTCCTTAGGTGTATTCACATATACTTATATGTAAACATATATATTTGTACACTTATGCCTGCATATGTATACCTGTGCATGTAAATAAGCATAGACATATTTAGAATTTATGATAAATCTTGGAAACCTTCAATTCTAGTCTATCCCCTCAGAGTCTTGTCTTGTCTTGCCTTCCTCCCTTTCATGTGTATGTCTTCTTTCACTGTGTAAATGTTGACTCTGAATAACATAACATATTTACTCATTTGCTCATCTTGTTATGTTTATGAAATTGTTTTGGAATTGCTTGGCACATAGAAAATTAAGCATATTGAACAATGGGGTGCTTATGGCACATAGAAAATTAAGCATATTGAACAATGGGGTGCTTAGGTGGCTCAGTTGGTTAAGCATCTGACTTTGGGATTGAGCCCCCTGTGGAGCCCCCTGCTCAGTGGGGAGCCTGCTTATTGTTCTCCCTCTGCCCTTTCCTCTACTCAGGCTCTCTCTTTCTCAAATAAATAAATAAATAAATAAAGCCTTTTAAAAAAAAAGAAAACAAAGAAAAATAAGCCTACTAAAAATATTTTGTCATGTGTTTATAGTCTCTCCTTCACACTCTTGTTTATGAATGAGGATCCATGTCGAATAGTACATCAATGAGTTATTTACATCAGTGCTTTTTTCTTTGTTATTTAGTAAGTTCATTTCTTTAAATTTACTTTTAATTGTAGTTCCTCTTTTGTGATTTAATTTTATTTTTTAAGTATGTGGAACTGGAACCTGTTTCCAAAAGTAAAAAGTATTTGAAAAGATATACTTGGAAGAGAATCATTTTGTCCCCAGTTTTCTCCCTTTCATCTTGTAGATAACCAACTACATTGTTTTCTAATACCTCACTTGTGTTTCATTTTGTAAAGGTAAGTATCTAATTCATTTTCTCTATCTCTCTTTCTTATTTCTTATTTCCCCTTCTTCCTTACCTAAAAGGTACCATCCAAGCCCCGCTCTTTTTTTTCACTTAATATTGTCTTCTGGAGATCCCTCCAAGTCAGCTTATAGAGATCTTTTTCATTTCTTTTACATTTCTATACAGCTGTTTGTACCACATGATTTACCATAATTTATGTGGTTTATAGTATATGTATTAGCTTATTCTTCCAATCTCCAATGTTTCAACTTTAATGTACAATGACAAATAATGCTGTAATTAATAAATTATACATATGCATTTTCATTGGTTGATCATATAAATCTGTATGATCTATAAAGTATAAATAGCCCAAGAGAAATAGACCAATATAAATGATCTATAATTTCTATTATCTAGAAATGTCAGTGAAGTAAAGAGAAAGATTCAACACACACCTGTTAAAACTCTTCTCACAAAAATCTTTTCAGATCTGGAATTATGGTAGTTAGTTATAACTTCATAAAAATGAGAATGTTGCTCTATAGTTATAAATTGGAATTACAGAGATTTCATAATAAAACCACTTTTTTCATTTAGTGACCTCAATATATCTTTTATGTAGCTCATGATAAAATACCAGATGAAAATCTTGTGTTTAAGAATCTTGAATCAATGTCAGAAACCCAAATACAAGTAAAGAAACAAATAAGTTCTAGAGAGAAAAGATATACTAGTGAGGATAATAATTATAATTTAAATTATTTTTAATTAATTGCATCTAAAGATTTTTTCTTTGAATCATAAATCTGTATTTTATAGAAACTTAAACTTTGACCTGAAGTATAAATGCCTTAAAATAACTGGAGAGCAAAATCCAAAGTAGTCATAATTTTTGGTTAGTATTGCTGACTGTAATACTATTCCACAGACATGGGTCATGCACTAAGTATCCACCAAAGTTAATAACAGGCCAATAATTCTTTCAAAGGGTCTGTAACTTTCAGTCAGCTCTAGGAAATTAGGAGTCCAGAAGCCTAATTAGTCCATTTTCCTGTGCAGTTGCCCTCTTCCAAAGATTCCAACTGGTAAAAAGAAGTTGCTGAAACCTGTAACTCAAATGCAGTCAGAGAGGCCTAGGAGATCTGTTATGACTTCCAGAACATTTTGTTGGCTTGAAATCCACTCAAATGTACAGGCCTTTTTGGTAATTCAACAGATGGTTGCAGTCAGGATCCCATGGAGGGGAATATGAGACTGCCAGTCCTTACAAATTTTCAGTCCTTTTTTGTATTTGTTGGGACTAAGAGGGATAAGCATTTGTCAGTTGTCTCCTAAAATGAGATATATTCCTCCTGTCCAGGGATTTTACTTGGGTACAGGTCCTTGTACTATGTCCATATTAATGACCCAGTTGTGTTGCTGAAAGTCGGTCCACACAGAATCTAGTACTTTTTGTGTGGTGCCTTTGACTAGTCCAACCAGAAGGATGTCATCAATATAGTGGAATGATAATTCTCCATCTAGGAGTGGGACTTTCTCTAGGTCATAACCTTGTGGAATGACATTAAAGTTGTATTGCAACCCATCACATATAAAGCAAACTGATTCTGATCATCTGTATGGATGTGAATGTTAAAAATGGCATTTGGAATATGAATTACTTCATGCCTATTTCCCTTAGCTTGGATAATAACTTCTATGGCAGTCACAATGTCAGGTAACACCAGTGTCCTAAGCTGTTCCATAGTTAAGCTGCCTATAATTAATTGAGTCTATAGGCACACAAGGCTATATGCACAGGTTGACTTAGTTATTGAACGATGAAATAGATTCATGGAGATCTTTGGCTTAGTTAAACTCAGCAGTGAGGATAATTTTTCTTCCCCTCCCCTACATAATTGGTTTGGGAGGCGATCTCTAGATATTGATAGTCTAGCAGGCTTATAGTTTTCCACATGCCTCACTAAAATGGCCTTATATGCAGCAATGTTCATTAGGGCTTGGGGCTTACCCAAGTTGGAGTTCACATAGAAAATATATCTGTGTTAGTAATATATTTAGTAGTGGGGGTTATAAAAATGGAGGCTTATGGTGCCCCAAAGAGACATCCATAGTCAGGTCTCAGACAGGGTCAGATAGCATTAATTGCTTCCCTATTATCCTGGGTCAGAATTGTGGCAATCGCAGATATTCACAAACTAGAATCCAAATGGCCCAAGTTACGGAATTTTTTCTCGTCACCTCTTTGAATTCAAAGGCATCCATCCTCACATGCCAATAGAGATAGAAAAATCTTGGTCTGCCCCCAGCCTTACTTATATGGGTAAATGTAGGCAGAGTTCTCTGATTCATATTAAGATTACTGGATGGGGCAGAGAGAATAACCCTCATATTAGTAATAAATGTCATCATCATTTTGATTCTTTTTTTTTTTTTAAAGTGGGCTTCATGCCCAGCATGAACTCATGACCTTGAGTTCAAGACCTGAGCTGAGACCAAGAGTTGGACGTTTAACTGACTGAGCCACCTAGGCGTCCCCATCATTTTGATTCTTATGGGGCTGTGTATTGGCCCCCCATGGCACACTTCCCCCAAACAGTAGATTCTTAGTGGAAAGTATATCCATTTCCTCCTTGAGACTCTGGTTTTGAGTAACTAGACAATATTTTCAGTGGCAGGGAACACATCTTGGGTGAGTCAAACTTTTCAGAAACCAAATAGCAGCCAGTAGAAGGAGAGTGTCTCAGATATTTGTGTGTCCCCATGTCCTCCTTGGGCAAAGTGGCTGCTTTCTCAGCAAGATCACATGCTTTATGGTTGGAGGTCCACTACCCAAGTCTATCATTTCTTCAAGTTTCTAGTAAAGCATCAAGTTTAAAGCAACACACTAAACATGAGTCTCAAAAACTTGCTGTGTCATAACCTATCAGTGCATGAGACATACTTAGAACTAACAACAGTCACTGGGTACAATTCAGCTAGCAGTGTCTTCAATGACCAACTACCTTATTTTCTAGTTTATATTTCCTGTGTTTCATTTTGTAAAGATAAATAGTATGTATCTCTCTTCATTTCCCCCCACCTTATTTCCCTTTCTTTCTTAAAAAGATAGCATACTAGATATTTTCTCAGTCAGGTTCTTTTCCAGTAAACATCATTTCATAGAAATACCATCAAGTCAATTTGTAGGGACCTATAACATTCCTTCTATACTTGTGTGTACAGCTGTTTGTACCACATTATATGCATAGTTTATATTATCATAGTTTATCTACCTTACTTTTGTCTATCCATTTCCTATGCCTATCCATTGATGTGGTTTTGAGTATTTTGCAAATTACAAATATGCTAGAATAAATAATCTTGTGTGTATGTATTTTCATTGTTTGGTCTATGAATATACATTAACTGAAAACACAAAATTAAGAAAACTAGAGACTAATATAAAACATATCTGAAACCTAAGAATTTTAATGATATGATAAAATGTTTTCTCCACACACCCATTAAAACTCTTTTCTCAGTTTTCATATCTGATCTAACATTATGGTAATTTACTTATAACTTCATAAAAATAAAAGAAGATGCTGATGTATGCTTATTATAAATTTAAAACCTAGAGATTTCACAATACATCTCTTTTTTATTTAGTTGACTAAATGCTTCTCTGTGTAGTTCAGGATGAAGTAACAGATGAAAATCATATGCTTCAGCATCAAGACTCAATATCAAAATCAGAAATTCAAGTGAAGAAACAAAGAACTAACAAAAGGGAAAGACTTAGTAGTAAGTATAAAATTACAAATAACTTTATTTTAAATTAGATCATTTTACTTTTGTTCATGAATATGTATTTGAACATATATTTTACAGAAATACTACACTTTATTTTTAAGATTTTTTTTAATTTACTTATTTGAGAGAGAGACAGTGAGAGAGAGCATGAGCAAGGAGAAGGTCAAAGGGAGAAGCAGACTCCCCATGGAGCTGGGAGCCTGATGCGGGACTCGATCCTGGGACTCCGGGATCATGACCTGAGCTGAAGGCAGTCGTCCAACCAACTGAGCCACCCAGGTGTCCCGAAATACTACACTTTGACTAAAATATGAATACCCCTAATAGTTAGGAAAAAATAGTTACACTTTGGTTGGAATTTCTGGTCTTAAGATCAATTTATGACCACAAGAGAAGCACTCAGAATTTCTGAGGGCCCCCAAAAGGCAAGTAATTGTTTCTCCTAAGGAGTATGCCTTTCAGCCAACTTCCTGTAATTATGGGTTCAATAGCCCAGTGGATGCCTCTGACCTGTAGCAGTGGCCTTCTGCCGTAGACTCCAGTTGGTACACAGATGATTCTGAGATCGGAAATTCAAACATGAAATAGGAATCAAAAGAGTATAGGGGAATGGCAGCCTAAGAGGCCTACTGGAGGGCTTTTAGGTCATCCTTTTCATTATATCTTTACTAAAAGTAAGCAACTTTTTTTGTAATCTCATAGATGATATCAAGGACCTCACACAGGGAAAATGAAAATGCAAGTAGTCAGAATTCCACTAATTGCTGGCCTCTTTTTACTTATTGGGGTTGAGTGGGCCAATATTGGTAGTCTTCTCCCCTGGGATGAGAAGCCGTGCTCTTTTGAGATCATGTCCAGGATTTCACTAGGGTATGAGGTAAATGTACCCTTTCTGAACAAATAGTCCAGCCAAGAGCTAGTAGTGTGTCAACAGGGCATCTAGTCCTTATTGGGTGGTGCCCTTGTCTGGACCCACTCTACTGAAGACTAGTCCTCCCTCTGGGAGTAGGACATTTAAAAGCCATGAACTATGCATTGGTGACAGATATTGAAGCAATTTGGTAGTTATGTGAAGGACACTAATAGTATATTGCAACTCATTTCACTTAAGGTTAAGTTAACCCTGATCTTTTGCATGAAGTGGGATACAGCAGAGGGCATTGGAGAGGTCAGTTGTTGCATATTAAATTTCCTTCAGTTTGGAAAAGACTGTATGATGTTACAATTTCAGGTACGCTAGTGCACAGAGCTGTGCTATAGTATTGAATCAAATTTAACTGAATCACTATACACCCTAGTCTATGTGAAAGGTCATCTTAATTATTAAAATGAGAAATAGTCTCTTGGAGAATTTTTGCTTCATTAGGCTCAGCAATGAGTGTAGTTATTTCTTTTCTTTCCTAGGAATTTGTTTTGGGAGACACAAGTTCTAGGTGATATTTAGTTTGGGTGTTTGCAGTCTTCTACATGCCCCACATAAATGGCCCTAAATATAGCAGTTCTTATCAGGGCTTGGAGCTTCTTCTTTTGGTTATATGAATATGTATTAATTTAAAGTATAAATAACCCAAGAAAACTAGAGACTACATATAGTACAACATTATATCTGAAACATTATAATAGGGACGTTAGTGATACAGCTTCAACACATACCCATTAAAAGTATTCTCACAATTTTCATGCCACATCTGGTATTATGATAGTTTGCTTACATTATTAAAACAAGAGAAAATTTGGTGTGTATTTGTTATAAATTTTAAATCTAGAGATTTCACAGTAGATATATATTTTTCTGTTAAGAGACTAAATGAATCTCTCTCTGTAGCTCATGATGATGTGCCAGACAAAAATCTTGTGCTTAAGTACCAAGATTCAGTGTCAAAACATCAAATACAAGTGCAGAAACAAGTAACTTCCAGAGAGAAAAAAAACATGAGTAAGTAATATGATTATAGATAACTTTGGATTTTAAAAATTTAAAAGCTTAAAATTTTGTTTTTTATCTTTAAAAAAAACTTAAAATTTTAAAAAATTAATCTCATCAGATCTTTTTTCTTTACTTCATGAATATGTATTTGAGCATAACTAGCAATATAGAAAATTCACACTTCAACGTAAAATATGAAATCATAAAACAAAAACCATTTAACATTTATTTGGGATATCTAATTATAAGATGATTTCATGGCATAGCTCTTGAGCTCAATGTTCACTAAAACCCAGTAACTAGTCAATAATTCCTCAAAGGGTGTTTACTTTCAGTCAAGTCACCTCTAACATGCTTCAGTTGGCCAACATTGGTTGCTAAGACCCATAACTCAAAATGAATTAGGGGGGGCAAGGAGAAGGGTGGCCTATGTACCTAGTTGGAGAACCTTCAGGGCATTCTGTTATTATGCCCCACTCAGGGTAGAGGTCTTTTTTGGTAATCTAATTAATGGTTGTTATCATGAAGATAGTCATGTAGGGAATGTGTGACCACCATTAGCTGAAGAATCCCACCAGTTGCTAGGCATCCTTTGTATTTATTGGAGCTAAGAGCCTGAGCATGACTAGAACTTGGGAGTTGCTTCCTTTGGAGTGAGACGTACTGCCTCTTGACTGTATTAATGACCCACCCATGTTAGTCCATATAGGTCAACATGGTATGCAGTCCCTGTTGGGTCATGCAGAAGATGTCATCAATATAGTGGAAGGATAGTGCTCCAGCTAGTAGGGGGACTTTTTCAAGTTCATGGCCTTGTAGAAGGATGTTAAAGGTGTGTTGCAACCCATTACACATAAGACAAACTAATACAGATAATCTGTGTGGATGGGGATGCTAAAAAGGATATTTGCAATATGAATTACTTCATACATACTTTCATCAGCTTGGTCAATAGCCTCTATGGCAGTTATAATGTCAGGTAATGCCAGTGCCAAAGTCTGTAATACACACTTGAGCCACTGATAATCAATTATTTTCAAACACTAAGGCCTTATGCAAAAGCCAGATGGTGGACTTTGTCTTCATTAACCACAGCAATAGGAGGAGTTCTTTCTTTCTTTTTTTTTTTTTAAAGATTTTATTTACTTGTTTGACAGAGAGAGAGATCAGAAGTAGGCAGAGAGGCAGACAGAGAGAGAGGGGGAAGCAGGCTCCCCGCTGAGCAGAGAGCCCAACCCGGGGCTCGATCCCAGGACCCTGAGATCATGACCTGAGCTGAAGGCAGAGGCTTAACCCACTGAGCCAACCAGGTGCCCCAGAGTTATTTCTTTTTATCCCCAAGACAAATGATACTGTTTTTGAGAGACAAAAGCATTGGATGCTGGTTGTCTGGTCAAGTTACAGTCTTCTACATGCCGCCATTAAAATGGTTCTAACTGCAGCAATTCCCTTCAAAGGATGCATTCAGAGGTGCATATAAACAATACAAAACACCTATCACAATAATCCATTTGGAAATGGGTACCATTACAATGGTGCTATGTAGTAGTCCCAAGGGACCTACTCTTAGTCAAATCTGGGTAAGGGTCTTGGTGGTGGTGGCTTGAGACAGAAAGTCAATGAGTGTTATCAATTTTCTCCTCATTTTATGCCAGAGATTGGGGGTTACAGTTACCTGTGCACTACTATTCAAAAGGCCCAAGAAATGTAGCTCTTCTCCATGTCTACTTTCAACTTTGATTTTGGCATAAAACCTTCATTTCTTACTGTAAACATAGGACGTTGTCATCTCATATCTCATAGTCTTTTTTGAGCCAAAAAATTTGAGTAAAAGTTACATGTTTTTTGATTCATTTCATAATTCACTGAGAGAAGAAACAGCATTGGTCTTAGAGGTATCATCACTGGGCAGTCTCAAGGGGGGCTGCTGTTTGTCTCTTAATGAAATAACTGCTTGACCAAGAGTTCTCAGTGGAGTGCCCATTCATCTTTTCTTTTGACTTCCATGTTTAGTATCAGACCCAGAGATCCTGGGAAAGCTCTTACCCAATTCTTCCAGGAATATGTGCACGATTATCCATTTTTATGTCACTCTATTTGATGGTCTCTCATTATATTGGCAGTTGCTTTTTCCCTGCCCAAGAATTTCTTAGTTATGATCTGGATTATGTCACTGAAAAATTGACCCGACCTTACAAGGAGGTTTAGCTGAGCTCAATAACCAGCAGGGATGAAATTAATGAACCCAAAGTCTTGTTAACAATCTTATCATATGCTCCTCTCACTCTCTCATTGCAAAACCAAGAGACCACCAGTGTAGTTTGCAGTGCTGCTGATGCCTCCACAGGAGTGGTCTCCAAGCATGTATTTTAGTCATAGGGAACACATCATGGGTGCCCAAAGCTATCAGAGTCCAAATTGCACCCAACTGAGGAAGAAGAACAACTTGGATGTTCCCCTCAGCCTCTTTGATCAAGTTTTCTGTGGTCATAATATTCTGAAGGAGGGTGCCATAGTGGTGTACCCCACAAAATACCACCACCCCTCACTAAGTTCAAAATTACCTTCTTCATCATTATAACAAGGAACCCAAGTCTCTAAGGTCTTTTTAGGTCACTGGACAAAGTAACCCCAAAGAATTCTATATTCATTTAATTAACCACAAGTCTCAATAACTTGCTATTTTATAGGCTGTCTTTCATTGTCTGTGGCCTTATTAGAGCTAGCAACAAACATTGGGTGCAACTTAGCTTACAGAGTATGTGACAATTTTTAGTTCTATCATCAGAGGACAATAGCATTAGTCAAGGAATTACTTCTCTAGATTTCTCAGAGTCCCTGTTGGAACTCTAATTTGACACACCAGGCATTTTGACCATGGAGTCTGGGGCTAAAGAAAACTACCACTGTCACCTTTCAAACATAGGATCTTCATGCTTTTTACTTTTCCAGAAAGACATTGTGCTTAATTGAGCCACCTGTTGGTCACCATTTGTCACTAAGAGAAAGCTGCCAGGTGTGAAGGAGGTCACTTAAGAAAACAATCCAAATCAAAAGTAAAAAGCCGGGGCGCCTGGGTGGCTCAGTGGGTTAAAGCCTCTGCCTTCGGCTCAGGTCATGATCCCGGAGTCCTGGGATCAAGCCCCGCATCGGGCTCTCAGCTCCGCGGGGAGCCTGCTTCCTCCCCTCTCTTTCTCTGCCTGCCTCTCTGCCTACTTGTGATCTCTCTCTCTCTCTCTGTCAAATAAATAAAATCTTAAAAAAAAAAAAAGTAAAAAGCCTTTATTCACTTACTGCAATGATATAAACAGGAGTCTAAACATGAAAGGGCACTAGCTCTACCAAGGCTTCAACCAATGTTTCATTTCCCCATGAAATGATATAAGATAAGGATTGGTATTAGCTCAGATGGAAGGGGAATATCTCACTATATGTAGAGTTATTTGTACCACATTATATCCCCTATATACTATATATACTATAGGTTTAAACATGCACATATACACACACCATAATTTATCCTAATTGGTACTATATGATTTTTCCAGTTTTATTGAGAAATAATTGGCATACAGTGGTGGTAGGTATTATGGAGGGCATCATTGTGTAAATCTAAGGTATACAGCATAATGTTTGACTTGCATATATTGTGGAAGATAGTGTTGTTTATGGTATATACATCAGTTTACTCAACCAGTCTCCCATTTTGGAATACTTAGACAATTTTGAATATTTGCAATTACAAATAAGTCTATATTGACTAAACTTGTGCATATGAATTCTCATTGGTTGGCATATGAATATGTATTTACCTAAAGTATAAATAACTTGACAAAATTAGAGTCTAATATAAACATACTTAGTGCCTATAATATTTATAAAATAGAGAGACAACTTCAATATACACCTATTAAAAATATTCCCAGTATTTTCATATTAGATCTGGTATTATGATTATTTATGACTTTATAAAAAGTCATGGGAGAAAATGTTTCTATTCACTATTATAAATTTGAAATCTAAAGATTTCATGGTAGCTCTATTTTCTTATTAATTTATCTCTTTATGTAGCCTTTGATGAAGTACAAGATGAAAATCTTATGCTTAAACATCAAGACTCAGTGTTAGAAACCCAAGTACAAAAAACTTCCATGGAGGAAATACTCAGTAGTAAGTATAATAGTTACAGATAACTTTATATTGTTTTAAGTTAAATGCATGAGAACTCTCTTTGGGTTATGAATATATATTTGAGCATTTATTTTATAGAAATATTAAACATTGACCACCAAAAGTGTGAATACTCTAACATAACTGGAGAACAAAAGGAAATATATTAATACATTTTAGTTGGAATTTCTTATCAGAAGATTATTACATGACCAAGGTCATATTCTCAGTTTTCATCAAGGCCAATAACAGACCAACAATTGTCTCACAAAGGATATACACTTTTTAGATAACAGGCAGATTGCAGGCGCAAAGCCCAAGGAGTGCCTTGTGACTTATGGTAGTGGCCTTCTGCTCTAGGTTCCAACATACAAAAACAGATGATACTGAGATCTGTACCTGAAACAAAAAATGGAAATCAGAGAGGTCCAGAAAAAGGGCATCTAAGATGACATCTAAGAACCCCAGGTGATCCTGTTCAGTAGAGCTCCCGCCAAATGTTGTAGTCTTTATGGTAACCTGATAGATATGAGTGTATGGCAGTACCTCAGTAGTTTTACTAACTGTTCAGATTATTTTTATTTTGGGGGCACAGAGGGTCAAACATGACAATTGGTTTCTCTGGGATGATACATTATGCCTTTTATAGATCATGCCTGGAAATTTTACTTTGGTTTTAGGTCCTTGTACCTTACTGGTAAGAATGGCCTACCAGGATGATTTCGTCAATAGATTGGAGAGATAGCACTCCCTCCAGGAGTGGGACTTTTTTCAGGTCTTGATCCATGCATTGATTATAGGTAGTTGGAGGAATTTAGGAAGTGTTGTAGAAGAACATTTGTGGTAAAATGTAATTCATATTATATACAACAAATTAACCCTGATCATCTGCATGAAGAGGGATGCTGAAAAGGGCATTTGTGATGTCAACTATAATATACCAATTTCCTTCACTTTGGGCAGTGACCTCCGTAACTGATTAATGTCAGGTACCACCAATGACAAAGGCAGCACTGGCACTTTATATAGCCTTAATTAATTTAAAGTCTAGACTTAAGGTCTTGCACATAGGTCAGGTGGAACTATTAAGTAGAGAAATAATTTACAGATATTGTTGGCTTTTTAAAGTTCAACAATGAGGGCCGTTATTTCTTTTTTATTCTCTAGGCTGTTGACATTGTGTTTGGTAGACAATGGTGCTAAGTGCCAATAGTTTTGTAGGTCATGATTTTTCACATACCCCATTAAAATACTCTGCCTTCAGCAAATCTAATCAGAGCTTAAGAGTAAATGCAATTGCTGAGGTCTCGGTCAAGATGGCGGAGAAGTAGCAGGCTGAGACTACTTCAGGTAGCGGGAGATCAGCTAGATAGCTTATCTAAAGATTGCAAAACCCTACAAATCCAATGGGAGATTGAAGAGAAGAAGAACAGCAACTCTAGAAACAGAAAATCAACCACTTTCTGA